GAGTAGATAAAGGTTGGTCTCCCACCCGAGTGTCTCCAAAACATCCCTCTAGATCCACCTCCCACATGCAATCAGGTTAGGTAGGGGCAAAAATAAAAGAAAAGTTTGGGAGACAGATTTCTAAGGGCTACCGTGGGATATAGATCTTCCTGCAATGATGTCCCACCCATCCCTGCCAATCTTATGGATACTGTTTATCACCTTGTGCCACAAAGAATTTGGTTCTCATGGGAAATGCTAAAGTCTTTTAGCAATAAAAATACAGGAAAACTCTTGGACTGGCAAGACACCTCCCAGCTAACTAAATGGTCAAGGTCTCCCTAATCAGCTCCGCCCATAGAGATTTCCTCATTCATTTCTTGATATCTTTTTACCTTCGTGTGTGTCATGAGAAAAGAATAAAACATAAAGTGGTACACATGATAGACATGCCAGAATCAAAGTCAAGCTACCTCCTACAAGAAAAAAAATCCATTTTTCCAACTATCTAGCCTCTTAGCCACTTCATTTTCCATCCCTTGCCAAAAATGTTTATTCCTCAGGCAACCCCCAAGAGGGCTCCCAAATATGTCAAAGGCCAATAAGTTCTAGCATACTCCACTGACTTCGCTAGACACACCAGAATTTGATCATCCATATTAATTCCTATGAGACCACTTTCCCCAAATTGATTTTCAATTCTAAGATAACATTCACGAACTCAGAAATTTGCTCTACATAACATCCAAGTCAACACATGCACTACCCAAGTAAAGAGAAAGGGGAAGATAGGGTTCCCCTGTCTCAATCCTCTTGATGCCTGGAACTATTCTCTGGTTTTCCATTAACAATTACTGCAAAGGAGACTGATGATAAGCAACTCTAGTTCCCCCTTCTCCATCTTGTGTCAAATCCTTTACATTCCATCCCTCTTCTAAAACTTCAGTCAACCCTATCATAGGTCTTTCCGAAATCCAGTTTGAGAATAATCCTTTTTCTTTAGATCTATGAATATGATCAAGTACCTTCTCCACGAGCAAATATGCATCAAGGATTTGTCTACCTCCACGAAGGCACTCTAGTTTAGTGAAATTATGTCGTCCAAAATCTCATAAATCCTTAAGACATAACCTTAATGATGATTTTATAAGCACTTGTCATTAAACTAATCGAGTAATAATCGAAGACCTTCCCTGACTTGCCCTTTTTGGTAGTTAAAGTGATGAAAGTAGCTTTCATGCTCTTACCTATGGTGGCATTCAAATAGAACTCCACAAATACTCTAATCAAATTCATTTTGACCATGTCCCAACATCCTTTGAGGAACTCTATAGAAAACCCATCTGGGTAAGGCGCTTTTTTCACTCCCTAGATCTCTCCCCCCTTCACCTTTTGTCTCCAACTTCGTTCTTTTGAACATCATTTCCTCTAACTCGTTTTTTAGGTCTAATAAAGTCTCTTTTTGGCTTTCAGAAGTGGTTCACTCAATCGCGAATTTGTCTAGATCCTTCATCTGCTCTAGAATTTCTACTTTTCTCAAGCCTACATTCCCAAACTCTTCCTTATTCCATGATTTCAATTTTCTCTTTAAATACTTCAGTTTCCTCATAAATTCCCACCCAACTTTGTACCCCCCTACCACTATTACCTTACAAATCAGTACCATTAAAAAGTGACAATATCTTCCTTCTTATTCCAAGACACAAATCTTATGCATATGCCAACCACCAGCATATCTTGACAAGGATATTAAGTGCTCTCTCCCTTGTTTTGTTTACCTTCCACAAGCAGATACCTGCTAACCATCTCAGCACACCAAAGAGTGAATGATAACTTCATGGGTTCCATTCCACTTACTCACCGAGAAAATTTTTTATTTTAAAGAAAACATTACTCTTAATCAACTAAGGAGGCTCATGCTAACTTAGTGAATGCAAAACTCAAAAGAGGCTCAAGGGACTAGGTGATTTTTCGGTTAGATACGCGATCTATACAGATCTATGAGGTTACCTTGCAAAGCAAGAACAAATGATTATTATTTTCCGAGTCTGAAGAATAGAAAATAGAAAGATTAGGAGAAATTGCTCTACTTGGGGTTATCATCTCTAAACTAGGTCATACGTGTTAAATCCTGCCAAGTACTACACTCCAACTAAAACTTTGACCCTTGAGAAAATTTTCACCTTCCAGAAAGAGTTAATAAACAACACATTCATAATAAGATTCTGAGTCAAATCCAAAAGGTGACAAAAAATTTACAAGATAATAGAATTCTATTAGAAGATAATAAAAATAACATGGACTTGCAAATGAGTTCTACACAAACTTTTGGATTTCTTTCAAACATAATCTAGATTAAAGGTCTCTATGTTATTTAAGTGTCTAACAATATGGAATTCCAATAACATGAGACCTTGCCAGGTGATAGAAGAAGAATTCTCTCTGTTATGACATCAGAAAGCCTATAACGGTGAGAAATAATATGGAAAACACATTCTCCTAACCAGGGATCTCCCTATACAAAAACAGACCATCTCCCACATCTTCTCTCAGTATCATGAAAGAAGGAGGTTTCAGGATTCGCTCAGTTTACTTGAGCTAAATTGAGTGGCTGCTGGGTTTGGCTGTGCTAAGGGCTGATAGCAACATCCGGCTGGATATAACTGAAAAAAATCTAGTATATCTCATTCCTCCAACAAAATTTTGGATTTTCCAAATGTGAGAAAGCTTTTTAAGACATTCTCTATTTTTGGTAGGTCTCGAGATCTCTAGTTCCAGCACTTGCATATTTTTTTAAAGGTCAGTTTTCTAAAAAGGAGAAGATCATGGGAATCTCATAGACAATTATTCACTTTTTGTGATTTTGTTCTACATGGACAGCAGTTCTTAGTGCCTTGTTTATAATTCTTCCTTTTTCTTCTGAAAATAAAAAAAAAATTAAAAAAAAAAGAAGAACCTAAGGCAATGAAATGAATAAAATGTCCTAGTATTAGGTATGCAAAAATTTTGTTCAGATAATTGAAAGCAGGCAATGTGAAACTATTAATATCAGTAAAGCTGTTGTTAAATGCTAATCTTTTAAATTAAACATAATGCAAAGTTGTTGAAAAAAAATAAGCGAGAGAAAGAGCACGAATGTGCATTGAGATTTATGATGGAAGGGAAAAAAGAAAAGGACCTTGAGGCGCTGCAAGCTAGTGGTAGGAGGATCTGCAAAAGCTTTGAAAATCCTAGCAGATGATCCATTAACAGATGCCAGCTTTTGAAGCACTCGCAACTTGTCCATCCATGGTTTTGATTCTGCAATAAAACAAGCACTTAGGTTCAAAACTGGTTATAATCAAAAGCACTAGCATTAACAACTGCTTTTCACCTGGGAAAAAGGAACTTGGAGCCACAAAATCAAATCTGCAAGCCAAAAACAGATGCAGCTTTATGAAGTTAATTAAGAGAAATAAATAGTTGAAATTTAAAAAAGAGAAATTGAAACCTGAGGGCATCAAGAACAATGATGACGAGTCGACTTATAGGTGGTCTAGTCCAACAATACTGATGATAATTGAAATGGGTTTGATTGTCAAGATGTGCTTTAACATCGGAGGAGAAGCAGGGAGATTGCAACAGATCAGAGCAATTGCTGTGAAAGGGAAGTTCTGTTCGAGTAAGCAGAAAACCACGAGTGAAAATGAGAATTGCAACTCCATGAATAACCATCATGACCAGTATTGCTCTTCTCATCTCCATCCAAGTCACTCTCTTCCACCATCCTCCCATCCTCCACAAACCAAACATCTTTCCTTTTTTTTTTATCTTTTCACTCTTGCGTGTCAAGACTCCAGTCTGATAAAATAACACAAAACCCCAAAGAAGAAGGCAAAAGTAGATTAGAGGAGTGGCAAAGGAGTCCAACTATGTCATCCTCTCCTAACACGTATTTGTCATATCCTAGTATTTGCATAATCATGATAAAGTCACCCACTTCATCCTCAAACGCCTTGAAGAGGGAAGTCAGATGCAGCATGCATACTGTGGAGTAACATGAAGCAGACATGAATTACATTCAACTAAGTCACCATCACCATTATAATCACATATTCTCATCCTTAATTTAAAAATAAACAATAATAATAACACTATATCTTCACTCTAATAATTCAACTCACCAGGCTCTTAATTTTACTTAAATACAACTTTATATCCAATACACTTCATGACAGAGAAATACCATTCAATTCCAGTGACAAATAATCAAATACTGTTGTTCCATAGTTTACAACTCGATGGGAAAAAACTTCTTTTCGGATAGAAACAATCAGAGAAAGAGAAATAGATTGAAAGTTATAAAGATTGAAAAGTAAAATTAGATACCATGAATTGGAAATTACCCATTTCACATGACATCTTACCATGACAGACATAAACCCAAAAACTAAAATTTGAATTCATTCTAATTTCACGTATTAACACAAATAAATGCCAGAAAAAGATGCTAGCATTTTTAATGTACTCATATTTTTTTTTGCAGAGAAAACGACCTACATATTTCTGGAGTTGACAGTTAACAAGATCATAATCGGTGAAGGGCATAGGAAATTAACTATTGAGCCCAAACTCATATTGCAGAGACATTACCAGTACTATTTTTCTTCAGAAGGAAAAAGTACGATACACACATCCACTGAAGAACAAAAAGTATTCATAGTGGTGGTTTGGAGATAAGATCTCTTGTCAACATGAATTTGGCTCTTCAAGGAAAATGGTTATGGAAGTTTTTGAATGAAGCTTACAAGCTATGGAGAAAAATTGTGCTTGTCCGCTGGGCTGATCTGAATGTGGTATGTGATGGGGCCAGCTCTAGACCTCATGGACGAGGCTTGTGGAAGAGTATAATGAAACAATGGCCGAGGTTCTACAGCTGTATTAAATGGAACCTGGGGGAAGGGAATAAAATTAGTTTCTGACGTGACAAATGGGTTGGTGATGACAGTTTGCAGAACAGGTTTCCCAGCATTTTTGAGATTGCCCATTCGAAATTGATGTTAGCGGCTGATGCATACCGGATTTGCAATGATTGTGTCATATGGTCTGTCAGAGTGAATAGGCACTTAAATGACTGGAAAATTCAAGAGTTTGAAGAACTCT